TAAAAAATATTAGTTGTTAATAATTGATTAGAGTTATCAACTTCTTTAATTAAGGTATTCCTTATTTTTTCATTTTCATGGAGAATTCAAGATTTCTTATAATTAGAAGAAATATTGTTGTGATTTTAATAATATTATAAACCTTTTCTTTCTATATATAGATAGAGAATAAGAGATGAATTAATATCAATTATTTGTAATTACAACAAGTTACTAATCAACTAATTAATTTAAAAAAATGATGAAAGGTATTTCATTAAAAAAAATTGTAATAATATATGAATTTGTCTGGAGGAAATCTTTGGTAAAAACAAATTATTTGTTAATATATTTACACTGAATGATTGAAAATAGTAAACTGAAAATGAATTAAATATACTTGAAATTTATGATTGAATCATTTTATGTTTTCTATAAATTTTGTCAATAACATATGAAAATTAACAATGTCTTGTTTATACTCTTTATGAAAAATAGTAAAATGATATAACAAAGAAAGACTTATTAAATAAAAGATAATAATATAATTATTGAAGAATAAATGTAATTAACTATTATACTGGTTGATATAATTTAGTTATTTTCTTCATTTTTATACAAAATAAAATGTTTTAAGTTAAGAAATAGAAACAAATTAATTTAAAAATATTAAAATGGAACTAAAAAATATAATATATTTTATTTTAATATGTTTACAGATAAAAGTCCTCTTATTAGTGGTGCTACTTCATTTTTTATAAATCAAGAACCAGATCCACAATCAGTTGGGTGGTTTGATAAGTTATTTGAAGATGAAGATAAAGGAACCTTTTCATGTTTGAAGTTAACGTGGAGTCAAAGAATGTTATTTTGTTTAGGATTTTGTGGATTTGGAATGTTATGTATTTTTATGGTTTGTTAATAACAGATAACTCATATTATCATTTGTGAAGTAATTATTTACAAGTTAGTCACTTTCATTCTTTTTCTTACCTACTCGTTTTGCTATGACATTCACTTTTGGAAATATATTAATTTTTATTGGAACTTCATTTTTAAGAAGTATTAAATCCCAGTATCAATCTTTGTTAAATGATCCTTCAAAACTAATTGCTTTTATTATTTATTTTGCTTCAATTGGTATCACTTTATTTAGTGGTCTTTATGTTTGTTCTTCTATTAATACTATGTTTTTTTTAACTAAATACCAATATTGATATCAATTAGATTGGTTCTACACTATTAACAATTGTCAGTGTAATCATTGAAATATGTTCTTGTATATGGTACATTGCTTCTTATATCCCTTATGCTCAAACATGTTTATCAGCAACATGTAAAGGATGTTGTAGACGTAATTGAATTTTTTAAATGACTAAGTTAGAAGTTTTAAAAAAGAAACAATCTTTAAAATATCATTTTATGTCACTTGTTAAAGAGTACATCAACAAAAAAGTAGAAGTAATAACTACTTTAGGTAAAGTGTATATTGGTATTTTAACTGGATATGACAATCCTATGAATATTGTATTAAAAAATTCAGTAGAACGTACATTCTCTAAAGAAGGAGTTTCAAATATATCGTGTGGATTATTAATTCTTCGTGGTGATGAAATGTTTGTTATTAAATTAAAATAGTTAAAAAGAAAGAAATCTTATTTTTTTGTAGTATGGTTATTGGAGGATTAAATGAAGAAAAAGATAATCAACTTGACTGGCAATGTGTAGTTTCCAACCCACTTTCTCAAGCATTAATATAGATTAATTTGATTGTTATTTTAATGAGACAGTTTCAAAAAAAAAAAATAAAACAAAATATTAATTTTAAAAGAAAAATCAAAACATTTAAAAAACTGTTAAAAAGACTAAAAACAAATTGAAATTATTAAGATGCATCACAATAATATTGTTCCTTTAAAACCTTTACCCATTCCACAAAAAAAATCTTTTCACCAACAAGAAGAAAATGAGTTGATTGCCTCTGCTCCATTAACACCATCATCTAGAGTTGTTCCTGTTAAAGCATTACCTCCAAAACCCTCTCAAAAAGAAGGAGATAAAAGAAGTTGTAAAATTAATCAAGTAAAAGAATTACCTCTTCCACCAAAAGAAATTAATTCTCCATCCCCACTTTTAATTTCACCTCAAAGTAAAACTAAACATTCTGTAGATTTGGAAAAGCATAAGGCTCATCACAGAGCATCTGTTGGTTCTAGAAATGAAATGTTTAGTTCACTTGATGAAAGAAAAAGAGAAACATCAACCTCTCTTAATTTCTTTAAAAAAACAACAACTCCTACAAGTCAAAAGATTAATGCAACAGTGTTTGACATAAACCCAACTAATCCTGAAGTTTCATTATCTGAATCACATACAGATTCAAAAGATATGTCTCCTAGAGTATCTATGTTAATTGGTCAAAAAGAAAAAACAGAACAAGCACATGTACTACAAACACATGAAAATAAAGTTCATGAAAAAGTAAATCAAGAACCATTAAAGGAATTAAAATATGAAGTAAAACCAATTCTTCCAACTGATTTCTTAAAGAAATATCAAAGCTATTTTACAACAGAAAATCAAGAAGATAAAATTCGATTTATCCCAAAGAATTTAAAAGGAGAAAGAGTTATTGGAGATGAATTAATGATGCATACAGCTGAATTAGTATTTACTGAATTTATGTTTTGTGTTAAATTACAAATATTTCAAGAAATTGAAAGAATAATAAAAAATGAAATACCATTATTAGAATATCAAGAGCAGTTATTATTTGAACCATTAGATAATCTTGTAAATGAAATTAGTCAAATGTGTTTAGAGTTAGAACCTATTTATTATAATCTTTTAAAAAATAAGTCCAATAAAAAAAGTGAATTAAATAATGTATTTCTTATAATTGCAATATATAACTCTTATATTTTTGATAAACCTTTTAAAGATAAATTTAAAGAATTTGTTGCACATTATACATCATTAGGAAATACAATTATCGAATTTATTAAATCAAATAAACATCTTTATAAAATTATACAAGAACAATTAAATAATTGTATTGATCAAAATATTAAAGAAATTACTGATTTATTCTTTTCAGCAACACAACGTATTTGTAGATATGAATTATTATTTGAAAGTATATTAAAAGAAATTCATCAAGAAGGAAAAGAAAAAGATATTTTAATAAGTACAATTAATTTATTCAAAAATATGAATACCTCAATTAATCAATTTATTTCAAAAACAAGAATCTTTTATTTAAAAAAATATGAGTATTTTGAAATAAGTTATAAGTCAAATATTTCTCTTCAAATGATTAATACAATTAAAAATAGTTTTACTTGTGCTGATCATTTTATTGGAATTTTTTATGGAATTAAAAACACTGGAATTAAATCAAAAAAAACAGAATTACTTTTATTTAATGAAGGAATACTAAAAAGGTATTGTGAAGAAGAATTTTTTGAATTTTATCCAATAAATACATTAACTGCAAAAAAAACTGGGGAATGGGAAAAAGAATTACTTCCAAATGATATTTTCTTTTTTGATATTAAAAAAAATAAAATGCAAATTATTTCACTTGAAAATGAAGAAGAGAAAAAGTTATTTAATTCTAAAGTAAACCAAATGTTTGATCAATTTAAAAAATCTTTAAATAAACATTGATAATACGATGTAAATTGAATTCATTTATTTTTTATTTTTAAATTTATATTTAAGTTCTATTGGAGCAATAGGTTCTAATGCTTCAAAATGATTTAATTTAGTTAATTGTTCACAAAAATTAATATGAAAAGAAGTTAATGTTATTGGAAGATCAATATTTTTAAGTTTTTTATTATAAAAAATATCTAATTGTTCTAATCCACTTTTTAAATTTAAAGAAGAAATATTTGAACACCAATACAGTGATAATGATTTTAATGTTGTTCCTATTGTTAATGTTGATACTTTATTACATTCAATACATAATAATGATTCTAATGGTACTTCATGAAGATTTGGAAAAGAACATACAGAATCACAATGACTTACTTCAACAAGTTTAGCTGAAGGTGGAATATAAAATTCTTTGATTGAATTACATGAAGATACACAAAATTCTTTTAAAGGAATTTCTAATAAATTTGGAAGAGAAAAATTAAAAGATGTTGTAATTTCAAGTCGAGTTAAAGAAGTTGGAAATAATAAAGAAATTGGTTTAGAGAACATAGAATTAACTAATCTAAATTCTTGAAGACAAACAATATTTTTTAAATCAATAAGAGAATGAATTGGAGTTACTTCAATTTTATAACCAAAAATATCTAAATGAGGTAGAAAATGAGATAAAGAAATTTTTTGAAGTTGATTTGAAAATAGAAGACTATCTGGTAATGAAAGGGTATAATGATCAAGAAACAATAACTTAAAATCATAATAAGATAATGATGAAGTAAGTTCATTCTCAAAAACACCTAATGTTATATTTTTTTTATTTAATAATTCTAATACATTTGTTAAATGTGTTTCTTTTAAATTATGAATTAATAAAACACAATTAATTCTTGTTGAATGAAATTTTTGTAACACTTCTTGTAATCTTAACAAATCATCACCATTACATTCAATAAATAATTTTTTAAAATAAGGTAGATGTTGTATTGTTTGAATAATATTATTCATAAATTTACTGAAATAAATCATTTCACTATTATTATTAATATCAACATGAAGTCTTTGAAGAAAATTCATTGATTCTAAATCAAATGTTAAATTTTCATCAATATAAAATCCAAATTCACAAATTCGTTGTTGAATTTTATGAATAATATTTAATGGAGCATAAATTAATTTTCCAACTAATTCAATTGTTGATAATTTTTTTAATAAATTAAGGTCTAATATTTTTATAGTCTCAATATCACATCTTAGTGTTTCAATATTTGGAAAAAGAGAGATTTCTTTATTAATAATTTCTTCTTTTTGTATTAATGAATCAAATGGTCCACTATAAAATGGATTCTTTTTTACATAAGAAAATGAAGTTAAACAATTTTTTGATACCATCTTAAGATTAATAGCATCTTGAACTGTTTTTAAATATCTCACAATAACTTCAATAGGTAATGTTTTTCTTTTATTAGAGTAATTAAAATTACTTCCTTCAAAATGTCTTTTTGGTGCAGGTAATATAATATAATTATTTGTTGAGTTATGAGGAATTAGGGGTTTCTTTCTAAATAAGTTCATTTGTTGTTTTCTTTTTTTTTCTTAGTTCCTTAATAACACAAATTCAAAAACATAAAATTAGTTAAGAAATAAAATAATTAAATAATAAAAATATTATTAAATAACTATTTCCTTTTTCAATGAATTTGATTCTGAACTTAAAAAGACTGTTTGGGTATTAAATATGTTTGCTACTTCAAAGAATAATCGTAAAGGATTAAGAGCAACACCCCATATGGTCAACGCATTAGACCACCAAATTCCTTTTGTTAAATTATGTCAGACAGCATATAGTTATCATAAAAAAACCAAACAATTTATTTATACTTTACAAAATTATTTTAGTTCTTTAGAAGTTAAATACTATGAAACATTAAGATTAGAAAATGGAGATAATGAATGTGTTGAACTCAATGATGAACATGAAATTCCACAAGAAGGAATCATAGATGTTATCGGTTGGGTTGATAATAATAGAAAGAATAGTCAAGTGTTCTTTATTAAAAATGAATGTAAATCTCTTATAATTCAATACCAATCATTTTCAACAAATATTATTTATAATCATGTCACAAGGGTATCTGATTTAGTTCATTTTTATTTTCAATTACTTGTTCATATGGGTGTTATTAAAGATGTTATTACATCTCGTAATTGGATGCAATACGGACTTAAAATTATTGACCAAAAGAAAAGAGTAAAAATTCTTCGTGGAAGTAGTTTAATTTGGGGAATGTTAAATGAGAAAACAGTTCTTAAATTTGAAAGAATTATGAAATTCACAGATTATAATATAGAAAGTCATTCAAGCTCAGAAATTGTTGATGAAATAGAAGTAGATTATATTATAAATAATTCAAATGAAAATCATGGAGTTTTATGTTGTGTAATGATTCAAAACACACAAACATTTGAAACAATGATTGATAAAAATTGGAGTTGTAGTGAATTAAAATCATTCATTTTTAAATTAGGGGAAATTAATGATCAAAACTTAAAATTATATAAAAGAAAAGGACTGTATCAATTAACTGAAATGAAAGAATGTGATAAAGTAAGTGAATATATTGAAACAGACAATGTTCTTTGTATAGATATTACTCAACCATCAAAAGATGTTTTTCTTATGGCTGGAAGAATTTCATTTAATGAAATATCATTAAAATCACTGATTCAAGTAAATGTTTATCTGTTAAATGAAACACCTAAATATGTTAGTTGTCCAGTAATTAATACATTTAATATTTTACTTACTTCAACATTAACAATTAAAGATATAATAACAGAATTATGTCCAGATCAAGATTGTTGTGTATTTATTCATATTAATGGTAATATTAGTTATTTAACGATTTATGACACTGTATTAGTTGAAAGTGAAATTACTAAAATAGGTATTATTAAAACTAAGAATTTCCCTTTTCTCCTTTCTAGACTTAAACATCCTAAAACATATAAAGTGATTACATCACTTCTTCCTAATGAACAAATGTTATATATTGAACATAATCTCTTTATTACAAATTATCAAACATTAATTTGGAATAATAACTCATTTATTAAAATTCCTCATTGTTCCGTATGTAACTGTGTTATATGTACAATTAATGAGAATTTAGATATCTTTTCTTTCTTATTAAAAGACTTTAGATTAATAATTTATGAAGTGAACACTATATTAACCCCAAGATTACTTCATATTTATTCAGAAAATAAATTATTATTTCCAAGAGATAAAAAAGAAATATTTGTTTTTAGAACTCCTGATATTATTGTTAGTAAACATTTTTCATCATCCTATGATATATTAAATGATTTTAAAAGAATGGGAGTAATTGGTAATCCAAATTTTATGGTTGCAGTTAATCTTTCTAAAATACAAAATAGAAATAACTTATATTTAACTTTTAGATGTGAGACATATCCTTCTAAAATTATTCTTCCTAATGGAAAATATGATTTAAATTCACTTGTTAATTATCGAGCTAAAGGAAGATTTCCAGTGATATCATGGGTAGGTCCAATGAACCAATGTCTTTCTAGAAGTGCTCAACCTCTTCCAGGAACTTTTGGACAAATCAAATGTGAATCTGATGTATCTATTCTTCAAGCTATGATGGAATTATGTGGAAAAAAAACATTCTTTGTATATGATGCAAGACCAAAATTAAATACAAAAGCAACAAGGTTCCAAGGAGGTGGAATGGAGAGTCAATCAAC